AATTACTCCTACAGATTAAAGGGGAGAGCGCCTCAGTCATTCCTTATGGCCTCACTAATGGAGGGGGCAGGGCCCCAAAATCTGGAAGTAGAGAGAATTGTGGAGTACACAGCCTTCACCTGGTGTGCACAATGTATGTGTGTGCCTGCGAGAAGGAAAGAGCAAAACCCCTACTCCCCACCCACAATAGATTGCCCTGCCTAGTGTGATATGGCTGGTGTCCCAACTGGGAAGGCAGAGCTTCTCCGAGAGCAAGGTCAGTGACCTCTAGGGGATTGGGCAACCCTTCTACCTGCTCCCTTTCAGAGCCCCCAACAGACAGGCCTGTTTTCTCCCCAGCCTAGCACAGGGCCACTAAGAAGAACTTCCTTCTGGAGGAGGCTGGGCCAGCGGGAGGGACTTGGGGCCTAAACCTACACTGGACAGCAGCAGTGCTCCTTGCTGGGGGTTCACAGGGAAAGGCTGGGTGGTAGAATGGAACCCCCCAGCTTCCTTCAATGCCTTCAGCCTTTAGAGAAGACGGAGGCTCATTTGGGGAGTGGGAGGGTTGAGGGTCAGCAGCCTAAGTAAGGAGGGAGGCCTGGGGCAGAATCTGCCTTTGGACATATGGCTGGCAGCCTTGCCTTATCTGCCTCAAGCTCTTTGCCGAACACTGCCGGGGGCCATGAAGTCATCCCTACACCAGGCCTGGGCCTTTTACCTGAGTTCCCCTGTGGAGAGTCCATGACCTTGTTTTTCCTGTCATGCCAGGAAGGAGGGTCCAGCATCTCATAGGTAAAGGAAGTGGAGGCATTGGGCCCAGAGGGTGCTGCCTTCTTCATTCCCCCAACATTCTGCAGAAACTCAATACTTCTACCCATCCCCTAGCCACAGGGATTAGCGGGTGCACTTGATGTTGAAGGGTAGTTGCTAGGGCCGGGAGGCCCCCCTACATGGTTGCTAGGGGTCTGGCATGGGGCGAGGGGTCTGCCCACTGCCGCGGTCACGGAGGGAATTACACAGTCACAAAGAAATTGTTCTTCTCAGTAATCTGCTCCTGGCCTCCGGGTGGGGTGAGGGTGGGGGAGCAGGCTGGAGCCCAGCAGGCTGGGGGCTGTGATCACAGAGGCGTGCTAGCCCCAGGCTGGGGGCCAGAGGGCCGGGAACACCAGGGACCAGCATGCTAAGCTGCTTTCTCAGCGATTTCTCTCCTCGGACACAAAGGTGTTTACTTGTTTTAACATCTCCTGGGACTCCCCTTCTCCCTTTGTGTGGTCTTTATCCCCAACGAGGTTTGAGCCCCAGATTACAGGCAGGAATTAAGGCATTGGTCTCAGGCAGCTCAGAACTGCATGACCTGCAGGATCAAGGAGTATAAAGTAACCAAGTGTGTGCACGTGAGGGGGGCCGACCCCTTCGGCAAGGCCATTCACGGCCCTGAGAAGGAGCGGCCGGGTGGTGGGTGGGCAGTGCAGGTGTGGCTGCAGAGCTGCTGTGTCCATCCCATTGAGGCTTCAGCTGGGGGCTGGGATGCTGGGGGGGGGGTGGGCACTGGTGCTGTTGGGAGTTTCCTAGCTGAGGAGGGCGGGCCGTACATCCCAGGGGCCTGATGCCAGCTGCAGGAGGAAAGAATGTGCACAGCCAAGGTGGGGCAGCCTCTTACCCTCTGCCCTTCCTCTCCCCAGTGGGCAGCTGATGACACACCTGGGCAGTGACTTTCCACCAGGGGCTGGGGTGCTAGATGTCATGTATGAGTCCCCTTCCACACTGCTGTCCTGTGGCTACGACACCTATGTTCGTTACTGGGACCTCCGCACTAGTGTCCGGTGAGTGTGCTAGCATGGGAGGGAGGATATGTGGTGGGAGCCTGGTGCCCATCCCAGTCCTCCCTCCAGTCCTGGGTCAGCCCACGGGACAAGAACAGAGAATCCATGTCAGGAGCTGGGAAGAAAGGGGCCAGTAAGGTCACATCAAGCTTAGACTCTCTACTCTGGTCCCTGTGGCCTGGGAAACTGTGGCCAACAAGCCCTGATAAGGACAGGCATTTCTCAGAGCCTCCCCAGCTATCAGGTATGGTACTGTCCCTCAGTATTCTGCCCCAGCCTTTAAGTAAGGCCTTTATTCTCCCCATCACAGGTTCTATGACATGTATCCATACCATGTGAAAACACAAACAAGGGTGTTTGCTCTATGGTTAGGGCTTGGAGAGTGTCCTTTAAAGAGGATGCCTTCTCCTACTTAAGTTTGGTCAGTTAAGAATCTCTCCTCCAGTCCAGCGTGGCTCTGTAACCCCTGCCCCACAGCTCTTCTAGGAACCTGAGGAAGCTAGGTCGGGCACTGAACCTCCCCACATCTCCTCTTCCTGGACAGAAAATGTGTCATGGAGTGGGAAGAACCCCACGACAGCACCCTGTACTGCTTGCAGACAGATGGCAACCACTTGCTGGCCACAGGGTCCTCCTACTATGGCGTTGTGCGGCTATGGGACCGGCGTCAGAGGGCCTGCCTGCACGTAAGTATCCTGCCCACCTCATGCCTCTGGGATGCAGGACTCATTATGGGCCACATCTGGGAGTGGGTGATAGAGCCAAGGACATGCCTAGGAAGGGCTGGAGGAAGCCTACAATGGCACATGTCCCTGTTTCACCAGGCTTGAAACTCTAGATTGGGGAAATCCCCATTTCCCACTTGGAAAGTTCTTACCTCTTCATGTGACCTCCCTTCTAGGCCTTCCCGCTGACATCTACCCCACTCAGCAGTCCCGTATACTGCCTACGGTTCACCACCAAGCATCTCTATGCTGCACTGTCCTACAACCTCCACGTCCTGGACTTTCAAAACCCATGACAGGCCACCCTGCCTGCCGGCCAGGGGAGTCAGCTACTCAGGGACCTCTTTTGCTTGGAGGGTGCAGTGATACCTCCTCCCACCACCCCTACTGTGCTCCTAGACTTGTTGCCACAGTGTTCAGGTGTCTGAAGCTAGAGGCCATGGCTCCTGGGGTACCAGGGCTCACCTAAGGATACAGCCCCTCCCAGAACCAGTGGAGGCACAGGACCTGCTGCTCTGGGAGAATGCAACTGAACCCGTGGCCTTGCACCCATCTTACCAGAGCAAGGACCTAGCCTGGAAAGGCCAATCCTGCCACCATATCTTCATAGGGCCATGGCAGCCACAGAATGAAGTGAGGCACTCTAGCCTTCGCAGATGGCCCCTTTCTGCCCTTCCCTGGAAGGAGAGGTGAGGCTGCCAGTGCTCCTGCTGGCATCAACCAATCCTCAGACTCCACCTTTGACCAACCTCTTAGGGCTGTGAGCTCATTCCTGGGACAATGTGACCTAGTTTTGCTTTGAAGCCAAGAAAGGACAAAGGGAACCTAGCAGTTTTGAGTGAGTTCTGAGCTAGCCCTACCTCAGGCCAGCTGTGGAGATATGCTATTCTTTTCATTTTTGTAAAAATAAAGCTTGATTGTTCACAGACCTTGTTCTTCACTGATGAGGCTGTTCTAAGAGGTCGAGACCAGCTTGGTGGCGCTTCATTCTTTATGCCAAAGAACAAAGGTGTCTTCTTCCTAAAGAACTCCCACCGACCACCTGCCTGTCTAGCCTCAAGGGAGGACTGTGGAAGGACTTTAAGATGCTGGGGCATAAAGCTGTTGTCACCTGTGGTGACCCTTCTTTCACCCTACCTCAACACATAGCAACACTGTGACCCTTATTTTGGCTTTTCACCCACAATATCATAACATCCTATGCTCTATTTTCAAGGTTTCTGCATTTTTAAAACTTTCCCCTTGCCTACATCCACCTTAGGAAGTTTCTTCTAAACTACTAAGCTACTACTTTTTTGTTGTGATGGAACTGAGGATTGAACCCAGAGGTGTTCTAACACCGAGTTACATCCCCACCACTTTTTGAGACAGGGTCTGTTGTCCAGGCTGGCCTCAAACTTATGATACTCCTGTCTCGGCTTCCCAAGTAGTTGAGATTGCAGGCATATGCCACTGGGCTCTGCTCTTCTGGGCCACTCCTACAAACCAAGCTAGAACAGGGGCCTACCAGCCCAGATTCCCTCTGAGTTTATGAAGACAGGTTGGGGAGACACCCTGCCCTACTGAAGTCACGGGCTCTTAAGCTCTTCTCCTTTTAGGTTCCCAGGATAGAGAAGGGAATGCCACACCAGCACCCTCTGTAGGGAGAGCAGTGGGGCCCAGAGGCAGGCAGCCTACAGAGGTGGACAAAACGACAGTCCATCTGCAATAACTCAGAATGACTTTACTCAGGAAACAAGACCATGAACAGGAGTTTGGTATAACACCTGGACCAGTTCCTATAGACTGTAGGTAGCTCCAAGGAGAGAGGAGGTTGCCTCATGCCGGAAAGGCCCAAGCCTGGAAGTCAGATAGTATCCTCCATGCCAGAGGAACAAAGCCGGGGACCAGCTACTGGGTCTTACAGTCCCCATCACTGTGGGCCGTCTTTACCTTCTTTAGCTCCTTTTGTAGCTCTGACTCAGCCACCATGATCTCCTTTGGCTTCTGATACTGTGGACAGATCCAGGAAGAGGACATAATTCAGTTACTATCTCCCTCCTTCCATACCCACACTTGGGCCCCTCTGTGCCCTTATGTATATAAGGAACTTGAGATGTCAGGGGGTCAAATTATTTACTCAGGTCATGTGGCTGGGTAGGAGCAGACCTTAAGCCAGAACCAAAGTTCTGAGGTTTCTACCACTTCCTTCATCATCCTTTGCCCTCTTCTAGTTGTGAACTGTGTGACCCTCCTCTCCCCGGGCTGAAATGGAGACACCCAATCCCTAGCAGGGACTCTTAGGGAATAGGAAATGGGCAGGGAAAGAGGAATCTCTCCCCAAATATAGTGGCCAAGAAGTCTGGGTAAATCTTACAGAGATTATCAGGGTGCAGTTGGCATGAGCAAAGCTCAGCAAGGAATCATCCAGAGGTAGCTGGTATCTGTCTAGGTCAGGAATGGAGAACTTCTTGTAGTACCTGTAGGGACACCAAGAGGCCATTGTGGCACCTAGCAAGGCAACCCCAACAGTTGGGCACCAGGCTTCTCTATAGTTCTTACCCACTTTCCACAAAGCTGGAAGGGAGGAAGGATTCTTACCAGTTAGAATGGCATGATTTTTGAGCTCACTGGCACTGGAAAGAAAAGTATGCCCCACCTTATGTCCAATCCAAAGAAAGAAGACCAGAACTAGTCCTAATTCCATGATTAGACCAAGGGCCTGTATGACTCATGTTGCAGAAATAAGACTCCCAAGACAGGCAGAAGCCTCCTGGAACACACACACACAGCTCAGGCAGCTTGGGACTCCTCTGCACTCCAAGCCTCGTAGGCACACCAGAAAATGGGACACATGTCCTACAATGGACAATAAGGACATCTAAGGCCATCCCCCAAAGCTGGGGCCCACAGTTGCCATTTACATGGTATTTCCACTGAAGACCCCAGGTACCTTTTCCTCTTTGGGGGTCTTTCAAGGCCTTGTTAGCCTGACACTACTTGTAAGTCAGAGAAGTGTGTTCACAAGGAAAAAGCTCGCTGCGATGACAAACCATCTCCAGTTCTGGACTCTCCACCTTGCTGGCCTTGAGACCCCACCCCTCCATTTTCACACCATACATGGTGCCTGTTGTCTGCAGGTGCCAGGCAGAGATTAATGATCCCTTTTAGTTTAAAAAGAAAGAAAGAAAATCAAGCCTGTAATGTGTATGACTGAACTTCAGGGAATTTGCCCCCTTCGCTAAAGAAGAAACCCCGCTCAAAGATGAAACAGCTTGCTGCTTTTCCAGCTAGTTGTCAGTGGAGTCAGGGTTAGAGGAAAGTTCCTTGCGCCTGTTCCAATACTTATTATGCCAGAGAATGAAGAAAGGCCATCTCATCTCTAATAGGTCTATTTGGCATTTCCTTGGTGGAAATGTGGCCTGGGCCCTGGCCAGGGGCTGCCAGACCTGTCAGCTGGGCAAAGCACCACTCTGCTGCAGAGGCTGTGTGGGCTGGGAAGGGAAACACCTCAGGCAGGTACAAACAAACTCAAGTGAGGGGCCTGCAAAAGACGGGTTTTTAATACTTCAGAGGGGCCTGGTCCTTGTGGTGACAGCTACCCTGAGTCCACTTCAAAAGCCCTGATGCCCTGGGGACTCAGTTGACATCAATGCAGCACTTCTGCCCCATCCTCCCTGCCCAAATCCCTCAGTTTAGCAAGGCTCCAGGGCCCCCTCCTCCCAGGTTCCCCACTCCCCACCAAGGTGCGAGGACCCATGGCAGGAAAAGAATGTTTACTTAAAGGCTGACAGTTCAAAAGGAGTGGGGGTTGGGGGATCCTAATGGCACCACAAGTTGCTTTCTTTTCCAAAGCTCTGCCCCAGGGAAAGGCGATCCATCTGCCTGCAACCAGCGAAGGAATGCTCTCCACATCCTCTTCCCAGCTGAGGGCTCTTCCTGAGGCCCTTGGTCTGGCCAGCAAAGGTGGCAGACACTGATAATAGGGGGGAGTCAAAGGTTAAACAGCAGAGATTAGGTGAACACAAAGGCTTGTTAGGAAGTGTTAACATCTTCCCTGCAAATATACACAAAAAGCCAAACCAGTGCTCCTCACCACCACCCCCACCCCCCCATTCCCCAGGCTAGGCCAGTGGGAAGGAAAATGAATCCTGAAGCTTGGTCCCAACAGCAACATCAGCATCAGAGGGAACTTGAGGTGCATAGTTTGTCCCCATTCCTTGTCCTACTCCTACTATAAGGCTAGAAGGCTGGGCACAGACCCTGAGGCTCAGCTTTGTTTTGAGTCTTACAGTAATGGATTTAATTTATTGGTGAGGTTAAACAACTTCTCCCAGGAGGCTCCTGACAGCCAGTGCTGGAGAGAATAGGGATATCTGCTTTCTTTCCTCAGGGCCAGCTGGCACCCTCCTATCTCTGTTCCCCCAGGCTTGGGATTTGCCAGGACAAGGACTGCACTTGACTTTCTCATTAGCACCTGGATAAGAGAGGGACCCACTGTGCTTCTGGAAAAGTCAGAATGCTTAGCCTCAGGCAGCTGCAGACATGCAGCACACATTTACTGGACATCAACTGTGTCCTAGGCCTTGAGCTGTGCGCTGGTGATTTAAGGACGAAGAAGAAACAGGCTTACCTGTGTAGACCTTGCTTGTTAATGCTAAAAGCTAAAGATATTTATAGCAGGGCAATTCCCCAGCATCCTGGCATGCCCCACTTTCTCCATCCCTACCTCCATCACTGTTCTCAGTAGCAACCAGGCAATGAACAACGACTTATTTTCCTTCCTTCCTCCTTTCCTGCACCCCCCTCCCTGGGATGAACCCAGGGTCTTGCACATGCGCTCTACCTCAATCCATACCCCTAGTCCTGAAATGGTATGTAGCTTTGGTTTTAAACACATTTAATCCTCAAAACAGCCCTCTAAAGATCTGGACACAGTGGTGATTGCCCTCAATCTTAGCAACTCGGGAGGCCTGAGGCAAGCAAGTTCCAGGCCAACCTGGGCAACTTAGTAAGACCCTGACTTAAAATTTCAAAAAGGGCTGGGGATATAGCTCAGAAGAACACTTCTGGGTTCAAACCCCAGTACAAAAAACCAACAAAACCCTCTCAGGTTGGTTATTTCTATATCATCTTTTATAGAACTGAGCACAGCAAAGTTAGGTATGTTGCTCAAGTCACAAAGCCCTTATTATAAGGGCATTCCCCCAATCTCCTAACCCCTCCATCTCCACATTCTCATCAAATAATAGATCACCTGGTCTAGATTCCCTACATTTTTCCAAGGATGGGGCAGATACTGGGTGGAAGGGCGGGGGTGTTTAGTAACAGGTTCTCTATCCTCAGATTCAACTACCCTGCACGTCTCCTGCGTACTCTCTCCAATACATTAGGGTTCATCCTTTCTGAATGTCAAAATTTAGATGAAACAGTAGGCTTGCAGTAGGTCTTCTAGCTCTGTTTTATGACCCTGGGCAGGGCACTTAACTTCTGGGCCTCAGTTTCTCGCTCTAAATTCCTTCCTAAAATCAAGGAGCTACAATAGATGAACTTTAAGTCATTGTCAAAGGGCCCAAAATGGACTAACTCTGAACCTCTCTTCTCCTTGTGCCAAATCGACAACTCCTTCATTTTGGTTATTTCAGAAATGGCCTACTGCCTCCATCTCACTACTGTATTCCCTCCCCAATTTCCAGCCCTTTCTCACCCCATTCTCCCTTGAATTGAATAGGGGGGCACAAGAGGTTGGGCCCTCAGCGAGAGAAAGCCCTTGGAGGAGGGCTGAGACCAGAGGAGGGCTATGTGGACAGTCTCATGGGCCCCACACACCTCTACCCTGCACGTTGGCTTGGCAGAAGTATCCAGAGAAGCCTTCAGTCATTCCCTCCCAGCAGCAGGAAATCTTCCTAAAACCCAAGGCTTTGGGAAAACTGAAGCCACGCCTAGCATCTCTTGTTGGAAAGTCATAATGCATGTGCACATACACGCTGGCAGGACCCTCAGAGTCCTAATGAATTGAAGCCTGTTGAATCCAAACTGACCTAAACTTATCTGGCCATAAGATCCTTTTCTTCTATAATACATGATGCTTATTTACACCTGCCATGGTGATCATTGATGTCCAATAAGCCAAGCTCTCTTCAGATTAGTTTCCAAAGAATTGTTCAGAACTTGCTTCAGGCCAGCCATTGTACTAGGTTCTCATATGTATCTGATATCATCAAATTCCCCAAACAATCTGTGAGGCAGGTATAAGCATGTTCCTATGATTCAGAAGGAACCCTTGCCCAAATGCTACAGTAAGAGATCAGACTTAAGCCAATATCTTCCTACTCTAGTACCCTGGCTCATGCCACTTACAACTGCCAGCTTCTAGGATGAAGCCAGAAATCTTCTTTCTACACAAACATTCTTATCAAGACCAGAAGATACATACAGGGGTCCTAGAAAAGCACTTTCTTCTCTGCCTGGCTTATGCCTCATTAGTACTTGAGGCCAAGGACACAATACACTAGAATCAATTCTCTAAAGCAAAGTGGCCAACCCAGTTCTTCAGAGACAAGGCAGATATGGACAAAGCAATTCTTGTCTGGCTTTGGTCAGGAATCACATTCTATAATATGAGAATGGGGTAGGCACAGAACCTCCAGGTGAAGATAAGTTGACTCAGAGAAGAATGCCACTGTGTGGTAGAGACTGCAGAAGCCTGGGCACCAAATGAGGGTGCTAGCTCTCCTTCTGGCAAGGAGGAGAGAGTTTGTATATGGCTGACCATATACTTACATTTACATAATTATTAATATATAAAATTAGGATAAAAATATGCATCCTGCCTATCTCTGGATGACATGAAGACCAGAAAACAAATTTTTAAAGTGTCCTGAAGACATTAACACTGCTCAAAGGAATAGTGTTAAGTTTTGTTTAATGAGTGGGAATACAAGTATACGACACATTACCACAGGTAGAAAGTGAAAATTCCACCAGACTCAGGAAAGATCTAGTTAAGAGTTCAGGGGGCCTTCCAGCTACCTCTTAACAGAGGATCTGTAGAGGGGTGGGGCTGAGCCAGGATGAGACCCTGGACCAAAGTCTCCATGTTGGCTCTGAAGTGGGCACCAAAATGCTCCTCTCTCCTTTGTGGGAACCCCATCTTCCCTGGCACCACTCTAATCATACCTGGCCTCCCCCAGTGCTTCAAAAATGACTTCCTCTCCTTGGGCACTGAATGGGTCTCTAGCCATGGAGCTCCTGGCCAATAGCGCCACCTATGGCTGGATGCACGCAGGAGATGGGGCCCAAAGGATCTACCAGCAGATGAATTTTTGGTGAGCTAGCTAGCCTGTCTACTCTCACTCTTGTAATCACATTTCTGCATGATATCTGTATTCGACAGTGACCTCTGGGGGACAAAAAGGAGGCAGCAGCCAGCTCCACAAAGTGCTAAGCTGCAGATTCAAGTGCTATCAGAAGCACTTTTGTTCCCAGTTTGGATCCAGGGCCTCTTACGCCAGGGAATGCTTGCTGAAGTACGGAGTTTGTTTTCCTACAGGCAATTTCTCTGTTGTCTGAAATTGCTAAATTCCACTTTAGGCACTGACTCCTGTTAATGATGAGAGCAATAACGGAAATAAACTGCCTTTTATCTGAGGGCTTCAATGTGCTTTATAAACGCAAACCCTTATTATTATGACTTTATATTTATAGACAAGGCCCACTGCAGGGGCTGCTGGCTGCATGTACAGCAATAATCCTGAAATTAATTCATTCATCTCCACCCCTTCCCCTGTCCTCTTAACCCTGACAAAATGATGGGGTATGGGTGTCATAAGAGGAGGGCTGCACTGGAGGAGCCTGGGAGTTGTCTTGCTTCCCTGTGGGCCTTATGGACCTGAGGAAGACACAAGGAGAGGCTGGCACCACACCAGCTAAGGAGATGGACAAAGAGCTGGGGCCTCCCAAATGCATGTAAGCAGAAGATGGGTAGAAGCACCTCTAGTTAGGTTCAGCAGCCTATGAGGCATATTGGGCACAAGTATGAAGCAAGAAACCTGCCATCTTGACACCCCAATCTATTTCATGGGAATTGATACCCCCATACTCTAATCCCTCTGGTTCAGGTCAAGACTGATTCACTCCAGGGCTCTTTTCTTCTCCAATGGTCAGTCAGAGTTCCATAAACCCAAATGTGATCATTTTGAAAATGCATCTGGGTCACCTTCTGTCCTTTCAACACCCCCCCCCAAAGTTGGCCTCCCCCCACCAGTGGACCATAAAGGGAAGTTGAGCACCCCTATTGAAACAGAATGCCAGGGACTTCCAAGAGGCCAAAGCATCTGTCCACTGTCCCTTAGTCCAAGGAGGAATTAGGGTTACTGCTGCCCAGTCCAGTATTTTAAAGTCCTTTAACTGCTACCTCAGACAGTTCCAGACCATGGCTCCCTGCCAGCTCCAAAAGTGATGTCACCAGGTCAAGTTCCCCATGGACTGGATCCAGCAATGAGGTCAAGGTCATAATTAACCTTATAGCAGAAGTGAAATCACAAGTGATTCCCTCATTCCTTTATTCATTCAACAAATATTTACTGAGCCCTAATATGTGCCAGGTACCATACTAGGCACATGTTCAAGTTCCCCTCCCTGAGGGAACTGATTACATTATTCAAGCTGCTCCTGCCCAGGGGAAGCCCTTCACTTTCAGTACCCTGGGTTTTTTGTTGGGTCTGCTTTCCTCCCTCAGAACTGGAGGAAGGAGGGTGCTCTGGCTTTGGAGTAAGCAACACTCTGGGACATGCCCCCACCCTGCCTCTGCTCAAGTACAAGCAGATAGGTGCTCACACACAACTCACTTCTTGTTGGTTGTTCTGACAACAATGCAGCGCTCCTTCTGGGCCACACCAACGCTATAGACATCCTTAGGGTAGGGGAGGTTTCGAATCCGCCACTGGAAACTCGTCTTTGTGTCCTTACGCATGAAGATAGGCTGCAGAAGGCAAATTCAACTCAAGGACAATTCAAAGTCTCTGCCCTCAGGGTCAGAGACCCTCCCAACCTCCATAAGACACTTGGACAGACATACATACATTGGCATTGCTTTCCTTGATGAGCTCAGGCCCCAGGCTTCCTGCTCCTGGGAGTGCTGGCTCTCCCACTTCAAGCTGCCACTGGCTCAAGGCTCCCAGCGCACTTTTCACTCGCCACTTTCTCACTGGGGACAGAAGCAAGCAATAGGATCACAGGGAAGAAAGGGTCACTGCTCTTTCCTGCTGAATCGCTGACATCATGTTAGTTCCCAAAATAAACAGGATAGAAGTAGAGCATTTAACTGGGCATTGTTCAACTGAGCAGGGATCACACAACCTGTGAAACCTCAGTGGAGCATTTCAGTATTATACAACCTACAAAGCCCAATTCATGGGTGCACAGACAAAAGGAATTGGCATGAAGTTCTAGAAGCCTAGGAGTCAAGAAACACTCAAGTACAAGGAGGACACTGAGAGTTGAAAATGGTGATTTCTGGTTTTAGGAAAATTTGGATCCCCAAAAGGAAGTTTAGATGCATTTCCCTGCCTCTAAAAAATGCAAGGGAGCCAGTATGGTAGTACACGCCCATAATCCTAGAGGTTCAGGAGGCCGAGGCAAGAAGGTCAAAAGTTCAAGACCATCCTTAGCAACTCAGTGAAACCCTGTCTTATAGTAAAAAAGGTCTGAAGATGTGGCTCAGTGATAAAGCTCCTTTGGGCTCAATCGCCAGTATCCTCACCCCCCCCCCCCAAAAAAAAATGCAAAGGAAAAATGAATGAAGAGAGTGAAAGCTATTTGGTAATTTTGTCTCATGATTCAGAAAGTTCAGATATAGAAATTCATTCATTTCATGGGGCTGGGATTGTGGCTCAGCAGTACAGCACTCACCTAGCACGTGCAAGGCCCTAAGTTTGATCCTCTGCACCACATAAGAATAAATAAATTAAAATAAAGGTATTGTGTCCAACTACAACTAAAAAGTAAATATAAAAAAAAAAAGAAATTCACTCATTTCAGGTATACCTGGCTTATAAAAAACTATATTATCAGGCTAGTTCAGTGGCAGAGCTCGTCTCATAAGAACAAAGTACCATGTTTAATCCCCAGCACTGCAAAACAAACAAAATCTGAGGCACACACTGTATTTTAAATGCACTATTTATAGAAGATCTAATGTGTTTTTGCAAAATGGAATTTTATATTTGCAAGTTTATAATGCAAATAACCATCTCTATTTTTTCTTGCTTTACAACCCAGCTATTTGTACAAATTTTTTTAAAAATAATTTTTAGTTGTAGATGAACACAATACCTTTATTTCATTTATTTATGTTTATGCTGAGGATCAAAGCCAGTGCCTCACATGTGCTAGGCAAGTGCTCAACCACTGAGTTACAATCCCAGCCCCCCCACACCTTTTTTTTAAGGATATATATTATGGAAACTAGTTTAATGGACATTATCTAGAAATCCCTGCTAGGATTTTCAGAAACTCCTCTCAGCCCTGTCCTAGGGACTGCTGTGGTGCAGTGGAACTACCTTTTTGGAGGCATAATCCCATTTCCTGCCTACTGTATTTGGGATCCCTGGGTCTGCCATCTCAGGGTGTCCTCCAGCCAGAACAACACAGTTACTGCTCAAGACCAGCAGCTGCCTTCTGCAGCCACTGCAGGGAGTGGAACAACTCGAAGTGCCTGGAGTGCTGCTGCCGTTGTTTCCAAGTGCAGGCTCCTTTTTCCCAGCAGGAGAGGTCATGGCTCCAGTCTGATCCTCAGCATCAGGCAAGTGGATGGTTTGCCTTTAGACCTCAGCAGCTGTGCCAACCCACACACCCTCACTGCTATAAGGAAAGCATGTGAACAGAACACAAAAGCATGCTGTAAAATTAAGGTTTTCCATTGAATATGTGCTTTTATAAGGTCTGCTGCATGCTGTGTATGATTTTATTACATCTTAGGGACAAAAGTTCTCCCTAGAAACACATTTCCAAGTTTATAATGAAAATTAATAAGGAAGAATAAAACTTGGAAATGTGCTTAATAGACAACTTTTTCCCCCCACAGATACTTTCTTAAGTGAATGGACTGTGACCAGGAGTATATCCAGATATATTCACTATAATATTTCACTTAATTGTAAGCCAGCCTTCTGGGAGGCCTCTATCACAACTGAAAACTCAGGAGTGACAAATACTTCCAAAAAATAGCTTATTATGACAAGACCCTTGTATCCTGCTCCACACTATCAGAAAGATTATTCCTAAATCCTTACTCAAGCTACATATAAAATGCTGTGTGCTGGGCACTGTGGCTTATACCTGTAATTCCCGCTAGTTGGAAGGCTGAAACAGGAAGATTCCAAGTTTGAGGCCAGCCTGGGCAAGCTGGCAAGAAGCAAGACCCTGTCTCAAAATAAAACAAAAAATATAAAATACAAAATAAAATTTAAAAAGTATAGGGATATAGCTGGTGCATAGCATATATGAGGCCCAGAGTTTGAAATTTTTTTTTTTTTTTTTTTTTTTTTTTTTGATACCAGGCATTGAACCCAGGGTTACTTAACCACTGGGCCACGTCCCCAGCCTTTTTTTTTTTTTTTTAATTTTTAAATATTTTTAGCTGTAGATGGACACAATACCTTTATTTATTTTTATGTGGTGCTGATGATTAAACCCAGTGCCTCATACATGTAAAGCAGCACTTTACCACTAAGCCACAATTCCAGCCTCTTTATTTTTTTAATTTTTTTGTACTTATAGATGGACAGCATGCCTTTATTTTATTTATTTTTATGTGGTGCTGAGGATCAAACCCAGTGCCTCATACATGTAAGGCAAGCACTTTACCACTAAGCCACAATTCCAGCCTCTTTATTTTTAAATTTTTTTTGTAGTTATAGGTGGACAGCATGCCTTTATTTTATTTATTTTTATGTGGTGCTGAGGATCAAACCCCAGCACCTCACACATGCAAGGCAGTGTTCTGCCACTGAGCTACAGCCCCAGCCCTGCATTTTTTATTTTTTGAGACAGGGTCTTGCTAAGTTGCTCAGGGTCTCACTGAATTGCTAAGCCTGGCTTTGAACTTGTGATCAACCTCCTGAGCCACTGGGATTACAGGCATGAGCCACCATGTTCAGTCCAGGGTTTGATTCTTAGTCTCACACATACACACACACAACAACAAAAAAAAAAAAAAAAAAGAAAGAAAGAAAAAAAAAAACTATGTATAGAATAAGGCAAGAAATTTTGTTCTCACGCATACTGACAACACTATCAAAGGACATCTTACATGGAAGTGCAGAACTAGAACAGCACTTGGGACCATTTAGTGTCAGGGCAAACAAGCACCCTTAGTCCTTGATGGTATCTCTATATAACAGAACATGACCACCACAGATCTTATGGGTGAAAGTTATTTTAGAAAGTATCTAGTCCAATAACTGTATGTTTGCTTGTTTGTTTATTTATCCTAGGGACTGAACCCTAATATGCTTTATGACTGAGTTACATCCCTAGTCCTTTTTATTTTTCATTATGAGACAGGGTCTTGCTAAGTTGCTAAGGATCTCCATAAGTTGCTGAAGCTGGTCTTAAATTCCTTAGCCTACCAAGTCAGTGGGACTACAGATGCACATTACTGCACCCGGCTATGTCTTTATTGTTGTTGTTGTTTATGCATATATTTTAAAAATGGGAAACATTTCTTCTGTGCCTGCTCACCTTCGTCTCTTGCCATTTCTTTCCAGGAGACAAGAGTCTATTGAGTAACAGACAGACCACTTTGCAAAAGCCACAGTTAAAATTCAGGTCTCCTAATCCCAAATTCAGAATCTGAATCATTAATAAAAGGTTAAACTGCAGCCCAGAAGTATTCAATAAGTGTTTGTGATATAAGCATTTTGTGATATTTCTTTCCTTTTTTTTTGGGGGGGGGGGGTACCAAGGGATTTAACTCAGAGGCACTCAACCACTGAGCCACATCCCTAGCCCTTGTGATAGTTCTTTAAGTAACTTTATTTTTGGCAGTATTGGGGATTGACTCAAGTTTCAAGCAGGGCATGGTGGTGCACACCTGTAATCCCAGTGGCTCAGGAGGCTGAGGCAGGAGGATCACGAGTTCAAAGACAGCCTCAGCAAAAGCAAGGTGCTAAGCAACTCAGTGAGACCCTGTCTCTAAATAAAATACAAAATAGGACTGGGGATATGGCTCAGTGGTTGAATGCCTCTGGGTTCAATCCCTGATACCAAAAAAAAAAAAAGAGAGAGAGAGTTTCAGACATGGTAGGCAAGCACTCTACTACTGAGCTCATTACATCCCCAATCCTTTTTATTTTTTTGAGACATAGTCTTGCTAAGTTGTTCAAACTAGTACCGAACTTGTGATCTTCCTACCTTAGCCTCCCAAATATCTGGAATTTCAGGTGTGCGCCACTATGTGTGTGTATATATATACACACACATTGGTCTTTAAAGGCTAAACTTCAATTATCTGAAAAAGTAAATATGAGGAATGTCTGACTACCTGCGGCTGGAGAAGTGAGATGCCCCTGTAATCATGGGCCATGTCAAATTTGATGTCCATTTCACTACCAGTGTGGCCTGGGAAAGGCAATAACCACCCTTTGAATTCCTGTGCACTCTTCTACTCCAAAGAATGCTGGGTTTTTCATAGAAAGCTTTTTTTTTTTAATATTTATTTTTTAGCTGTAGTTGGACACAAAAACCTTTATTTTACTTATTTATTTTTATGTGGTGCTGAGGATTGAACCAAGGGCCTCACACGAGCCCTCTACCACTGAGCCAGAACCCCAACCCTCCACAGAAAGCTTTTTTTTTTTTTAATATTTTATTTTTTAGTTTTAGGTGGACACAATATCTTTTTTTTTTTTTTTAATGTGGTGCTGAGAATCGAACCCAGTGCCTCACATGCCAGGTGAGCACACTACCACTTGAGCCACATCCCCAGCCCCCATAGAAAGCTTCATAAGGAGGAAAAGTTTGCTGTTCGCTCCCTCTTTCCAAGCCACTCAGGCCACAGGAGCTTTGGCACCCTTGGCTGCCTCATCATTTTTTTTTTTTAACACCTATGAAATTACCTTCTTTGTTAAAAAGTAATACAGAAGAAAGTTTTCCTTTTCAACCCTTTAAGAGATAAGATCCAAAAATTATTTTGGCAAAGTCCTTATTTATCTCATACATAAGGGCATGAGTACACACGTGCAAATACACACTTATCTTTCTTGTCCATGTCTTTGTTCCTGAACTCAAGGACAGCTCCTGCGGCAATAGAAGACTGTTTCTACCTGCTGTCACTCTGATTTGATTATACGTTAAACCCAAACTGGTGTGTGCAAGGCAGCTCCCTGGGTGCTGTCATCTCTTCCCAGCTGAGCCAGGGTCAGTCCTTGGGAAGGAGACTTTCAATGACCCTGCAAAGGGTCTGATACGGAATATGAAGGAGGCAATGCCTGGGGACTTTTTCCTAAGTCAGCAGGAAACAGGCTGATGTCCCAGGCTGCTGAAAGAGGCCCGATCTTTCAGGTGGGCTAGAAAGTAGAGGTCCTAAAGGCCTCTTTCCCCAAAGCTCCAAAGCCTGGCCCACTTCCAATGTGGATAATTACATTCCCCTTTCCTAAATACTCCCTGCAGCTTAAACTAGATGCAGGATTCTTCTTTTCTGCCCTAAAACACTGCAACATTGCTCTGTGGCTATTAAACAGCTGCCGCGGCCCATCCCTGAGGAGGCTGAAGGGAATCGAGTGGGTCATTTATAAAGCTGCTGAAGTGCCTGGGGATGAAAGTGCTCAATATCCTCCAAATGCGGCCTGGGGTGGTTAGGCTGGCGGTCAAATACCAAAGCAGATTAAGCAGTAATCCGAATGTAATCGCTAGGGGATGGCCTGCCCTTCAGCCTCTGCTTCCCTGGACACGCTGTGTTTTTCTGGGGCTAGTTTGATGTTCCGATCATTGTTATGGGGCCCTTCAGTTTTTCCTCTATGAATACATACAGCATTCATTGTGCGGGGTGGGAATGAATAGCCCCGAGAGATTAGAAAAAAAGATGACACTAACATGCTTATTAACACTGACTAGAGAAACTTTGTCCCAGGCAGATGCACACCTATTGGCAATTCTTCCTCTTTAAATTGAGATTTTTTAATAGAAACAGCAGTTTGGCCAATTACCAAATTTATATAATTAGTTGGAAAATGTAAACTATTTCTGCATACTGCCACAAAAACCACATCTGTATTTTATTTCATAGTATACACAAGCAAAAGACAGCTCAGATCCTAGGATTATTTATTCTTAAAAATTAACAGCTGGGACTGGATGTGGTAGTGTACACCGGTCATCTCAGCAACTCAAGGATTGCTAGTTCAGGGGCAGCCTTGGCAACTTAGCAAGGACCTGTCTTAAAATAAAAGGCCTGGGGCTGGGGATGTAGTTCAGTGGTAGAGCCTAGTATGTGTGAGGCACTGGGTTCAATCCCCAGCACTTTAAAAAATTAAAAAATAAAATAAAAATAAAACCTGGGTGCAGTGGCATGCTCCTATAGTCCCAAGTACTTGGGAGGCTAAGACAGGAGAATCACTTGAGCCTAGGAATTCAAGGCCAGCCTGGGCAAACTAGTGAGGCCCCATCTCAAAATAATAAAAACAATAACAACAACAACTATGATGACGAAGAGTATTTTGTGAGGGCAGTTGGGTAGGGGTTAGGGGAGAAGAATAAGAAATGGATCTACTGTTCTCTGGCTACGGTCCAGTGGCTGGAGTGGGGTGATTCTTCATGCCTATCAGTCCCCATTCAGGTCATTCTGGGAAAGAAAAATTGAATAAGACTAGGCATGGGGGCACATGCCTGTAATCCCAGCTATTTGAGAGACTCAGACTCAGATTATAAGTTCTAGCCTAGCCTGGGTAACAGCAAAACCTCTTAAAAAAAAAAAAAAGAAAGAGAAAATAGGAAGTAAAGAAAGTTAGATTTAAATATTCTTTGCTATACATCAAAGCACAGATTTTTTAGAAAATATTGTTTAGCTGTCAATGGATCTTTATTTTATTTATTTATATGATACCGAGAATCCAACCCAGTGCTTCACACGTGCGAGGCAAGCACTCTACCACTGAATCACAATCCCAGCAAGCACGGACTCTTGATTGGACAGAACTCAGAAACCTAACAGCAATGTGATTCTGAAAAAGGTACTTAACTTCTTTGAGCGTCTGTTCTTTCAACTGTAAAATAGGGATGAGGATACCTATGTCATAGGGGTTTTCTTTTTTCCATTGGTGTGGGGTACTGGGGATTGAACCCAGGTGTGCTTAATCACTGAACCACATCCCCCAGTCCTTTTTATTTTTTGAAACAAGGTCTCACTAAATTGCTTAGGGCCTTGCTAAGTTGCTGAGACTGGTCTTTCAGTCCTCCTGCCTCAGCTACCTAAATTGCTCTGATTACAGGTGTGTGCCACCATGCCCAGCTGTCATAGAGTTTTGTTTTGTAACACACACACACTGTGTATTTGTGTGTGTATATATGTAAACATATACACACATATAAATATGTACACACACACACACACACATATATATAATATATATATATTAGTTGTAGATGGACAAATACCTTCATTTTATTTATTTATTTTTATGTGGTGCTGAGGATTTGAACCCAGTGCCTCACACATGCTAGGCAAACACTCTACCAACTGAGCTACAGCTCCAGTCCTGTTATAGGGTTTTAATGAAGACAATTACATGATGTCATTCATATAATATACTTGGCATGGTGTCCAACAAGAATTAATGTCATTAGTAGGTAAAACTTTAGTCAAATAGTATTCTCTCTCATGAACAAAGTCTTACTCTATTTCTGCTTTTAAGAAAAAGGAGTTTGAGTCAGGCCTATAATCCCAGTGACTCAGGAGGCTAAGGTAGGAGGATCACAAGCTTGAGGTCAACACTGGCAATTTAGCAAGAGCCTGTCTCAAAATGAAAAATAAAAAAGGACTGGGAATGTAGTTCAGTGGTAGAGAGCCTTTGGGTTCAATCCCTGTACTGCCAATAAATAAGTACATAAGAAAAAGAAAAAGGAGTTTGGAGGCCAGAGTCTGTCCTCTCTTGCCACCCGGAGAAACAACAGGTAAATGTGGGATACTGGGGCTTCAAATGCTACAAATGAGGGAAACTGCACTTTTTTTTTTTTTTAATTTCAATTTCATCTCCAAGTTCAACAAAAAAGCCCAGGTTTTGTTTGTTTGTTTCCACAGCTGTGGCAACAATAGCTGCTTTACTTGTTCTTTGTGGAAAAGAGGGGTGATATTGGGGGCTGGGGTGAAGCTGGGGCGAGGTGTTGCGGTCAGTCTCTGGCCTGGATATGGTGATGGTTAGCCCACGTGACCTCTGCTTTCATAAGTTCTCCCCTGTTAGGCATTCCAAGGCTGTCACCCCCTGGGAGCACTATAAATTACAATACATTGTGAGGATATTACTACTGTATTGGTTTCCTCCGAATCAGTGTCATATGCTAAACACATCAAGATTTTTAATAGCACCAGACTAAGCCAATTGGGACCAAGCCCAAGCAGTTCATAATAAGGAGGGATCAACACTTCACTCTGCAACTGAACATGCGGAGGGCACATATTTTAAGACCAGAGACCAAGAGAATGCAAACCAGTGTAATCCATGTTGTCGGTTCTAGACATTTATGAGCTGTCAGAAAAAGGGAAAAAGAAATTCCCTCACCAATACAACCTGTCGATCAGGCCTAGGAAGAAATTAAAGTCAAGAATAATGACAAGAAAATAACCCAGTCCATGATTCCATCATTGGTCTTAGCATTTCAGGTGGAACTTAATAAAGAGACCAACTCCCACTGCTGACAGCCTTAGGCCCTGGGTCACAGAGCCAACCTCCTAGCTCTGGGAAGTCAGTTAAGGCTGATGTGCGTACCTGGGAATAGAAAGTGGACAAATCAAATAATTCCCAGAAATTCAAACTGGAACCCCTATTCATGAGCCTATTCATAGAGGGAAAAATCTGTAGGAACGAAAAATGATAATGCTGCAAAATCACCAAGCATACCCCCTTTGGTTCATTCTTCAAGATGAGGGTCGTATTTAACGGTGTTGCCTTGGAGGCAAGGTCAGAAGATACTGCCTCTGATGCTTGGTGGCTCAGAAAACACAACAAGCAATCAAAAAGCCTGCAGTGAAAGGCTGTCCTTATCACTACGGGCTACAAGGCTCACTTCAATACCACTCCTCTGTTAAGTTTTTCTCCAACTGTTTCTCTACATACCCCCTCCCAGCTTAGAATTATCTTTCTCGCTGGCTGGGGCTGGGCTTGGGGCTGGGCTTTATGGGTCAAAAAAAAAAACACAAAAAAAACTCCCACTCCATTTCCAGTGTCCAAACTATTTTCAGTAACAACCTTGCCCCAAAAGCCTGAGTACTCCCTCCCTCAGTTTCCACATTTCATGCTGGGCAACTCCCTCAAGTCTAAGGCTAGGAGCATTGGCCTGTGCTCAGAACAATCCCAAGCCTTCCAAAAAGTCCAATGGAAGCCTGTTACTTACCAAGTAGTTCACTCGTCTTCTCATCATATTCTTCAGCCATTTCCTTTCCATCTGGGAACAAATAGTGCACCTTTCTTCTCCCTACACACAGAGCAGACAGTGCCTTACCTCACAGCCTTCCTCTGCCTTGCCTCATGCTGATGTGCAAGGGGCCTTGCCTGGGAACAGCAATAGCCCTGGGAGTAATGAGAAACCCCGCTGGAACCCCTAGGAACTCCTTGCCAACCATCACCCACCATTACTTTAAGTCATATCCTGGGGCTCACTTGCTTTCTGAAGCTTCTTCCTCTGATCATGCCTTTGCAATTTTCTCTTTGCAATTATCAGCAATAATGCCATAATTCTTCCCATCCATGAAACTCTTCTTCACCCTTCAAAATCCAGCTCAAATGTCACTTCCACTGGGAAGTCTCCCACAATTATCACCTCCAGCTCATTGGCAGAAGTAATCACTTCCTCATCTGCCCCCTCCCATGGTGTATTCACATGTATAGTGGAGCATTTATCACATATTATAACACTCCTAAAAGTATCAGACATGAATGTCATCACACGTCTTTCTCTCCCCAGTTTCTAAAACCAAGCTTACACAGGATGTTGAGCTGGGGTTGTTGACCCAGCACTTCCCTTCAGTCATGCCATTGTTCTACCTTCTTCCACCACACATCTCTAGGTCATTCAGAGACACATGATGGCAACTGCCATGTATTTGCTCCCTGACAAGGTACTTCAGTTATGATTTTACATCTACTTGTGTGTGATTCTTTGATTATTGCCTGTCTCTTTTACTGGATAGGAGCAGTTTTATCCCTGTACCTGTGGTTTCCCTGAGAGTAAGCAGAGTACCTGGCTCAACGAAATAGTAACTGAAAGAATGAATAAATATTGACACATCCTCCACTGACAACCACGGAGTCTCCCAGCCCAATTTCTCTACCCACATAGCACAACCATAAGCATTTGCTTAAGGATGACTGTGTAACTTCCTCTTTCTTTTTACATATAGGACACAGATATAGGTATGCCCTCAGAAAGACTAATAAAAGGGCATTAATGCTCAGTAGGCATGTACACTATATAAGATTCAAGAATAAGAATCCTAGCTGGGGACTGATGCTGTAGTTCAGTGGCAGAATACTTGCCTGGCACGTGTGAGGAACTGGGTTTGATCCTCAGCACCACGTAAAAATAAACAAATAAAATAAAGGTATACTTGGCCAGAGTCGTGGCTCAGTGGTAGAGTGCTTGCCTATCATGTGTGAGGCACTGCGTTCGATCCCTGACACCACATAAAAATAAAGGTATTGTGTCCATCTACAACTGAAAAAAATATTTTTTAAAAAAGCATACTGTCCATCTATAACTACACTTTTTTTTTTTTTTAAGATTCCTAGCCAGGGGGCTGGGGTTGTGGCTCAGTTGGTAGAGTGCTTGCCTAGTATGTATGAGGCACTGGGTTTGATTCTCAGCACCACATATAAGTAAATAAATAAAGGTCAATCAACAGCTAAATAAAAAAAAATTTAAAAAAAAAGATTCCTAGCTAGGTATGATGGAGCACTCCTGTAATTCCAGCTTGGCTGAGGCAGGAGGAGCTCGAGTTCAAAGCCAGCCTCAGCATCTTAGTGAGGCCCTAAGCAATTCAGTGAGACCCTGTCTCTAAATAAAATATTTTAAAAAGGGCTGGGGAGGCCAGGGTTGTGGTTTGGTGGTCAAGTGCTTGTCTAGCATCCATGAGATACTGGATTTGATCCCTGGCACCACAGAGAAATTAAAAAATAATAATAAAATAAAGGTTAAAAAATAATTGAAAAAAAAAAAAAAAGGCTGGGGATGTGGCTCAGTGGTCAAGAACCCCTGGGTTCAATCCCTGGTACCAAAAAATTACAAAAGAGTCCTCAGGTGGCTTTTTCCTAATTTACTCTTCTGGGAACAGTTCCCTTGAGTCATTTTAAATTTGTATTTCAGGGAAACTCAAATCCCAAATTTGCAGGGCATCTCAACAGGCTTTTAGGTTCCACCACTCTTAACCATTTGGGTGGTTCATAGGAGACATCAGGTCTTTTCCTATCAGAAGAAGGGCACAAGGTACTGCCTGTGCACAGCTGAGGGCACCTGGCCTGGCCATCTTCTCCCCTTTGCCTCCAGCCTCGAGTACTGGCAGAATGTGGTACTTACTATCAACCAGCCAGTTTACATGTTTTATTAAATTTAATTCTCACAATAATCCTATGTATCTCCATTATCTGTATTTCACAGATGAGGAAAATTGAGGCTTAAGGATGTGAAACTTAGTCTAACATCACAAAGCTAGAAAATGACAGATTCAGACCTAAACTCTTTTGAGGCCAAAGTCCAAGTTCTAATAATTATATCAGAAAAATTTGTACAGCTTTAAATATTTGTAAGGTTGAAAATTGTTCCAGGGATTTATTGAAAATTTTTCCAAAGAGTTCCTGTTTACATCCCTATACCTGCCAAGATGGCAAATCTGCATTTTAACAAAGCATACCCATATATTCAATATTGTGGGGTTTTTTTTTTTGTTGTTGTTGTTTGGGAAAAAACCCTAACAATATCATTTTGTGATGCTAATAATAAAAGAACTTAACACAATCTTGGCTGATATAATATTTGTTTAAATATTGTTCTGTGACCAAATACCTGGGCTTGCACCTCTGAATACCTCTGAATTCATATTCAGAGCAGCATTATTCACAATAGTCAAAAGGTAGAAGCAACCCAAGTGTCCCTCAACACATGAATAAACAAAATGTATGTGTGTGAGGAGGTGAGTTGTGCATAAATACAAATGGGATATTATTCACATTTTAAAAGGAAGGAAATTCTAACACATGAACTTTGGAGATATTATGCTATAAGAAATAAGCCAATCATAAAAGGACAAATATCATACAATTTCATTCATCTGGTTTCCTAGAGTAGTCAAATTCACAGAAATAGAAAATAGAAAGGTGCCTGCCAGGGGCTGGGGAGGAGGAGAGCACAGAGTTTACTGACAGAGTTTCTTGAGGAAGATGAAACAGTTCTGGAAGCTGGGTTCAGTGGCACATGCCTGTAATCCCAGTGGTTCAGGAGGCTGAGGCAGAAGGATTGTGAGTTCAAAGCCAGCCTCAGCAACTTATCAAGGCACTGAGAAACTCAGTGAGACCTTGTCTCTAAATAAAATACAAAATAAGGCTGGGGATGGGACTCAGTGGTTAAGTGCCCCTGAATTCAATCTTTGATACCAAATAAAAATAAAATAACAATTCTGGAAATGGATGGTGATGATGATTGCACAACAGTGTGAATGTACTTAATTAAAATGAACTGTAGGCTTAAAGAGTTAAAATGGTAAATTTTATGGTATGTATTTTTTATCACAATAAAAACAAAAACAGCCAGACATGGTGGCATATGCCTATGATATCAATTACTCAGGAGAATCCTGAGTTCAAAGTCACCCTGGGCAACTTAGCAAAACCTGTATCAAAATAAAAAGGGCTGTTGATGTAGCTCAGTGGTAGGGCATCCCTGGGTTTAATCCATGCGCGTGCGTGCTCTCTTTCTCTCTCACATGCACACAAACAACAATCAACATTGTCCTGTGAGATAATGTCCAAAGTCTTCTGCAAGGCAAATTCCCCAATTTTCTGCAATCCATTTCCACCTTTTCCCCTCATTGCTCCTTGAGTGGCGGGGACCCTTTCATTCACCCTTGTATCCTAGCACCTAGTAGCACAGCTGACACAGCATAATGGTTTGTTACAACTGACTGAGCAAATGATTTCTCACCACTAAACATTTTGTTATTCCTTGAGTAACCAGAGTAATCAGTTGTATATTTCCATACCTCCAAGCCTTTACATGTTGAGTCACTGTTCCTTAAATATCATTCCCTTCTCCACTCCGCAAACACCTCTTAATTCCTTAGGACCCAGAATATCAGCCCTTCTGTTAGGTCTCCCTCCAAAGAGATGATCATTTCCACTTTCATGCTCTCAAAGCATTTTATACAAGATTTCACCCTCTACTTAACATGCACTATTATTTATTTACATGTCTTTTCCTGACCATTCTGTGCACTCCTAGGAGAATATGTCTTTTTTTAACTGTTCTAGTACAGAACTTGGCACACAGTATGGACTCCCTTAAACGTTGCACAAATGAGCAGCTGACTTTAATTTCCACAAACTCCAGGCTTCCCTGATTGGCCTCTACCTGGGACTGAGTCCCCAGCTGTTAGCCTTATAGCCTCAGAAATTTAAACCTAATTTGCTTTGGCTGCCAAGTGAGTCCAGAAAAGAACCCTGAAGTCCAAGAGGCCCTACAATGGACAGTTAGTTCTATGATAAGAAAAAGTCAGAACTCCATACCTGGTGCCCACTCTTATAGGCATGGTCCTTAGTCCTTGTTCTAGCTCCCGTAAAGACCAGGGCACATTTAGAGATTCACTTTGCAAACATAACAATACAGCTGTAAAGGATCTCAGAGGTAAGTGGTGGCCCATCTACTTCATTTTACAGATGAGGAAAGCGAGATCCAAACAAGAAAAGTGGCCTGCTGCACAGCTCTAGAATTAATGGCAGAGTCCAACTAGAACCCAGGTCTCCCTCTTCTTCATGACACCAAGCTGCCACCGGCAACCGAATCCCCAGACTGAGGTTCATGGGAGCCCAGATCAAGATCAGTTGTATCACTGATTCGCTGGGGAAGCTGAGTCTGATCTAAAACTTTCCAGGATTTCTGTTTCCTCGTCTGTAAAACAGAGTAGAAAATTATCAGAATCCTGGTACATCAGTGATTAGCAAATGAGATAACGAATGGGAAAGGAATTATTATGTATCAGCAACAAAACTCCGAGCGGGGCGAGATGGTGTAGGGAAACCTATGAGGCGCCCAGAGACGTGGGTTCCAGTCTCGTCGTCTCTGGGCCTCAATTTCCTCTTCTGCCAATACGGGAACTGGCCTGGCAGACGACCGCTGCGCTTCCAGCTCTGCCGGCCGAGGCCCTTCCCCGGGGACACCAGCGCGGAAGGCTGGACCCTAGTGGTGAGGACGAGAGAGCTCGCGGGCGCCTCGAGTTACCATCCTGCAGCAGCGCTGTCTTCTCTGCCGCCCGCAGACTCTCTAACCAGCCAGTCACCGCCATCTTCTCTCCGCCCAGCCACGCGCACGGACGCTGCCATGGCAACTGTTCCGCTGAGGGTCACTTCCTGCTGACCCGGATGGAATTCTGGGCATTTGCCCTTCCCTCTTACCCCCTTCGTCCGCTCTCATTGGCTCCTTTGGTAAGTAGTTTATTCCTTCTCGCCAGGTGACTCTCCAAGATCCAGAGTTGATCCCACCTTGGGAAGGACTCTTAGGTCTGGCCCGGTGGAGGTCTCTCCCCTGGCTCCCAGCTGGGAGTCCCTGACCCGTGCCAGCTGTGCACGCGGCGGGTGCACCACACCTGCCTGAGTCTTCTCCATCCCCAGCTGTGAGACCGAGACTCCCCCAGTCCCGGAGAGCGCCGCACACCTGCTATGGCAGTGCCCTCTTTCCCCGCAGCTGCGGGACTCAGCCCCCCCCCCCCGCCCCATGCTGAGAGTCCTGCTCCCCGGGCAGGTGCAGGCTGTTCCCGGCGCCCCCCAAACCACCCTCCCAGGTTTTCCTCTTCAGTTATACCCTTGAGAGGTAGTTATGTGGGGTTTATGGGCAGGTGTCCTTCCGTCTCTACTCCTTTGAGGAGATGAAGAAGACCTTCCTAAATAGTTCATTTCCTACCTTGGTGTCTTTTTGGTAAAGCACTTTGGAAGTGGGATGCAGCACGGGCAGACTGCTGAATCTTCAGTGCAACTCCTTTGAGGACTGCTATAATTTCCTACCTCTCAAAAATAACCTCAATAGGCCCTGTGTTCCCCTCGCTTCCCCCAATGCCAAACTAAACAACCCGTGAGTGTAGAGCTAGCTAAACCACTGAAGTTTGATTGGGTTTTCTGAGATCCCTGGAAACTGGGCTGCTGCCCTCAAGGTCTGGTTGGTAGAGGCTCCATCTCTATATGCAAATGGGTTGGGAGAACTCAGTTTTGGATTTCTACATGACGTCTGCCCTGACCAACCCTTAAACAGAAAGGATCCAGCCATACTTCAATGGACCCCAGGGGCATCCTGAAGGCATTTCCCAAGAGAAAGAAAAGTCATGTCAATCCATCATCAAAAGCATTGACAAAGATTCCCAAGAGGGAAGAGGGAGAAGAAGCAGGAGGTGAGCAGACATACTCTCAGAATTCTCATTCACTTGAACCCTTGGCCTTCCCATTGTTTGGTCCTACTTTGTTCCTGTCCAGAATCAGGTATCAGAACTGAGGCAACCTATCCAGGACCTTCAGGTCTCTGTACCTGACTTGGATTAGCCATATCTTTTCTTTTTTTTAAATTTGGGTACTGGGGATTGAACTCAGGGGCACTCAACCACTGAGCCACATCTCCAGCCCATTTTTGTAATTTTTTTTTTTTTTTAGAGACGGGTCTCACTGAATTGCTTAGTGCTTTGCCATTGCTGAGGCTGGCTTTGAGCCCACTATCCTCCAGTGTTAGCCTCCCCAGCCTCTGGGATTACAGTCCTGGGCCACCAAGCCCCGCAGTCACACATCTTTGATAGCTTCCTGTTTCCCTTCTTCCCCACCTAAGACCTTCATCAGTCAGAATATACTCCCTAATCCCTCAGGAAATGACTGGTAGAATTTTTTGCTCTCCAGGAGGCTGCCCCAACTGCAGACAGAAATCCCCCTTGATGCTAGGAGTGCTAAGGCATAAACATCATCACAAGTTTGAGGCCAGCCTCAGCAATTTAGCAAGGCCCTGAGCAACTTAGCCTCAGGCTTGTAAGTTGTTTTGGGCCCTATTGACAGAAAGATGGCAGAGGCTTTATGGGGAGTGGGAGCAGGAATCAAATCTGCTAGACTGTGAGGGCAAGAAACAATAGAAGAAACATGCTTTGTTGAAAGAATAAATGATAAAGTGATTCTGAACTGCAGTTCAAAGTAGGGAGGGATAAGGCATTTATTTACTCTTTTATTTAACAAATATTTATAGGCTACATACAATGTGCCAGACATTGTTCTTTGTTACACCAGAAAACAGGATAAATAAAAATTCTCACCCCTTATATTCCAGTGATTGCCTATGAGGAAATTGGCTGTATGCTTATAAGGTAGAATCCCCAGAAGGCAGACTGTGTGGATGGAAGGAAAATGATTGTTTTAGGGGGAGAGGACTACAAACATGTCATTCTCATCATATCTAAAAATTTTGATAATAGGCATCTAACTGTCCCTCCCACAGAGTGGCTGAGCTCCCTGCGGGCTCATGTTGTGTCCACTGGCATTGGACGAGCCCGGGCAGAACTCTTTGAGAAGCAGATTGTTCAGCATGGTGGCCAGATATGCTCTGCCCAGACCCCAGGGGTCACTCACATTGTGGTGGATGAAGGCATGGACTGTGAGCGGGCCCTCCACCTCCTCAGACTGCCCCAACTGCCCCCAGGTGCTCAACTGGTAAAGTCAACCTGGCTGAGCTCCTGCCTACAGGAGAGAAGACTGGTGGACACAGCTGGATTTAGCATCTTCATCCCCAACAGGTGGGCTGGTTCCTCAAATGTTTTCTGGCAGCATCTTGAGTCTATTCTTGAGCTATTCCAGATGACTATTTTCTCGTTTATTTTGTGATACTGTGGATGGAACTCAGGGCCTTGCATATCGTAGGCAAGCCCTCTACCTACACCCCCAGCCCTACTTTTAAAATTAGACACATGAGAAAATAAGGTTTCAAAATAGAGAAGGATTGGGGATGGAAATAGGACGAGACTTTGGGTGTCTTAACCTCCTGTCATCATCCCCCAGGTATGTGGATCAACCACAGCCAAGCAAAGTGGACCAAGACTCTTCTGCTCCTCCTGGCACTCATGGGATTCTGCCTAGGACAGCCCTTTCTCCTCTGCCTCCTCCTACCAGAGCTGTATCTCCTCCCCAAAAGGCAGAAGAGGCACCAAGCTCCCAAGTCCAGGTCAGGAGCCTCCTAGCACCCTGGGTATCTGATCATAGAAGTGGGGAACATCAGAAGGTACCAGGCCCCTGAGACAGTAAGTCTGTCTTGATTTAGCACATACTACTCAGAAGCCCAGGGCTGGACACTGGGAAAGGGAAGCCACATAGTACATGTCCCAATGCTAAAGGAGACCTAAGCTTGATGCAGAAGCCCCAGCCTCAATGTTGGGTCTGAGAAGGAGACACCCACACATGCAAAGACAACTCCCACTTTTGAAGTGTCCTCCTCATGGAAGGAAAGAATTTATTAACTCTTCTTCCCTACTTCAAGCCCAGCTCCGATGATGAAACCAGTGATGGGGAAGGGCCCCAGGTTAGCACAGCTGATCTGGAAGCTCTGATCAGCGGCCGTTACCCAACCCCACCTGAGGGAGATGGCGAGCCTGGCCCAATCCCAGAGGCCCTGGATAAGTGGGTCTGTGCACAGCCCTCAAGCCAGAAGATGACCAACCACAACCCACACATCACAGAGAAGCTGGAAGTGCTGGCCAAAGCCTACAGCGTCCAGGGAGATAAGTGGAGGGCTCTGGGTTATGCCAAAGCCATCAATGCCCTCAAGAGCTTCCACAAGCCTGTTAGCTCCTACCAGGTACCTTGGAGGTAGGGTGGTGTTGGCCGGGACATCTTGTCTTTACTAGCCAGGACATCAGGCTTAATGGTTAAGATTTTATGTTTGAGAGACTTTCACAAAGAAACAAAATGGGAAGTGAAAGCAGATTAGCAAAATCTTGAGAATTGTTGAAGGAGGTGATTGGTGCTTGGGGGTTCAATACAGTGTCCTCTCTGTTTTTAAGTTTTCTGTATACTAAAAAGTTTAAAACAAAATTCTAGACTCTGGAGCCTAACAGACCAGGGTTACTAACTGTGTGACAATAGGCAAGTTACTTAAACTTCCAAGCACCAGTTTTCTCATCAATAAAAAGGGATTAATAATAGCAACTCATTCACGGTGCTCTTATGAGGAGGAAATGAGATGGTCCCTGGTGCACAGAAATGATATACAGTAAGCACTCAGTACACGTTGGCTCTCACTATTGCCACGATGATGATGGTGGTGGTGGTGACTAGTCCCATCATTATTCCCCACTTCTTATCATTGGTCTCTATTCCTCTGGGAACTTAAAGACAAGTTACCCAGCCCATATTCCATCCAAACTTCTCATCTTCAACTGTGCCCAGGTTTTCCACAGCCACACATTTGCCTGGCTGACTTTTCAGCAGACATCTACTAAAGGAATCTACTTTAACCTACCCCTGGTTCTCCCTAGCTGCTTTCTCAGTTTTCTTCCTTACCTCTGTCCCCATCCTCCTCTAGGAGGCCTGCAGCATCCCTGGGATTGGGAAGCGGATGGCTGAGAAAATCATGGAGATCCTGGAGAGTGGGCATCTGAGGAAACTGGACCACATCAGTGAGAGCGTGCCTATCTTGGAACTCTTTTCCAACATCTGGGGAGCTGGGACCAAGACTGCCCAGATGTGGTACCATCAGGTCAAACCATGGCTCAGCTGCCATTTTAGTATTGCCATGTTTCAGAATTCTGACCTTATAAGTCCCTTTGCCTTTTTACCAGGGGTGACCTGGGTATCATTCTGCTACCTTGTATGCTGACGAGAATGAACCTAGACTATAGGGAGGTAACTTCTCAAAGGCATCAGTTCTCAAATAAGTCCATCTCCTGGCTTCTAGAACAGCCATGTGGCTTGGTATCCTTGTGGTGTAGGTAGGAACAAGAAGTATATTTCTCTGTCCCCCAGAATAGCACGTGCCTTCCTGAGAATTCAGGACATTCAGAGGAAATGTTCAGAAGAGTAGATCCCAAATCTAGCCATCCCAGAATTATCTGGGGGCATTGATTACAATGAAGAGGCCCAGGCCCATCCCCAGACCAGTGGTGCCATGAATTAGCATCTCTGGATTATGGCATGTCTTCTAGGCCCCTAACTTTCCCAGGTCCCATGAGTACAGACCCTCCCACACCTGGGGTTGGTCCTCTCTCAGGCCTTGAATGGAATCTGGGGCAATAGAAACCTCCTGTGTCTGCTTGTTTCCACCACTTCATTGGTCCTGGATCCTCAGCTTT